GTTTACGAGGGGTTTTGGTGTGCTGTGGGGGTGGAGCGAGGGGAAGGAGTAGGTCATGCTTTGTCTGCCCATGAAAAGGAGGGATTTTTCTTATTCATATTTAGTATTTTGTCCGTATGAGTTTTAAATTCCAAGTGGTGTGGCACCTCTTCCCTTGACACTTACTCTACAAGCTACAAATATACATAGCTGGGAAGCTTTCCCTTTTCATCGTTGAGTTTTCCGTGTGCAATTATATCTTATTGTTCTGATATACTGCAGTGCTCCAGATGACATAACTCTCTCTTTTGGAACCTGGCACTCCTCAGAAGTCTGCAGGCGGTTGGCCTATCACCCCGCCGTCTTCAGTGAGCGATGTTACAGCCATTTAACTCTTCATCTTTATTTTCTAGTCAGTTACTTTTCTATTCTGTCGCAGTTCTTTGAACTCCTTCCAACCTGGCAGTGTTTGCAGATCTGCACAGATATTGTGGGTGCTTGGAGTTATTCTATTGGACCTTCCTTTCACATGATAAAATAACCTCAATTTTGTGCTATAGACCTGCTTTCTACCTGTTTCCCCTGCCGTGTCACGTTGTGTTATGCTTAGTTCAGGCTCTACACTTTGCCCGTGACTATCATATATGTACGATGGCTAATATACATACCAACGTGACTGCTACGGCCGTCACGTAAGCATTGTCCTCAAAGGGTAGTTTTGTCTTCGTAATGTGTGCTTTTATTTGTGAAAGTTAAGCTGAAGCAGCTCACCTAACACACACAAATTTAAGTTGGTGTCTACTGTAACATCTGTTATTTTCAACATAGCTGCTTCCCAGGTTTTGCCCTCCCACTGCATGGGCTTTTTGGATCATTTGCCTTTAGTTGTCTTAGCCTGTTTTTTTTCCAGAATGAATCTCATTTGGTTATTTTCAGATTGCATTTCTATTCTCTCTCAGTCCCTGTGCATTTATTTCTCTGTGTCCCCATTATTTTTCTAGCTCCTCCAAATATGTTATTTCCTGGAGATTTAAGTTAGCTTGCTGCCTAGAATCTCTTCTGGATCATTAAAGAAAATATCAAGTGAAATAGGACCTCATATAGATCTTTGTAATATTGCACGTTCTTCTGTTGTCCTTTGCTTTTATTTTATAAGAATTTATTTTCAGGCAGTTTTCATATCAAGCCACAGCATTCGTATCAAAGTGCAAATCACTATCAAATGTTTACTAAAAATCAATCACATCGCATCTGCTCTTTTCCCTTCACCAGTTTAGTAATGCTAGCCAAAAAAGGGGCCAATTTCTAGCCAGTTCTGCTGTTCTGAATAGAAATCATGGCTGCATTGTCCTCAGTCTTCTAGCCTGGTTTACTTTATAGGAAGCCTCATGAATTAAAACAGCTGTGCAGCCCGTTCTCAATTTTGGTTTAGTGGTGAACAGAGCTGAAGAGGAAACAAGTGAAATTTATGCATGTGAGAGGGAGAAAGAGAGAGGGAAAGGGAAGTAATTTTTATCTGCCTGCGTTACATACGTAACTGTTGGAAATTATATGCGTTTCTGAAGAACCAGTCAAATCCGTAAATGTTCTTACACTTCTAGACCTGAACTTCCATGAAGTTCAGTGTTTTATACTGTCCTGCTTTGCTTTCCTGTGATCTGGGATTCCAGCAATATTTGAAGCTCTGTCCAAACTGAAGGTATGAGATGACGTCAGCAGCCGCCCCTTAGCCGAGGGCCCTGCTCCAGTTCCTCTGGTTTAATTGCTGGCCAGTTATCCGTGACACACAAAAAACTGTGACGCTTCAGTGATGTGGTAAGAGTGAGAAGGGTCCTCTTCGGGTAACACAGCTGTTTCGGGTAAGAAACAAAAGAATTAAGACAGAAATGAGATGATGACAGGGACTGAAGGAAAGAAAGTGAGAGAATGCTTAGCCAAGAACTCTTTCCGCGGGGAGTGTGAGTTATAGTCCCTGGAGATCATGCAAAAGGCATCCCCATTCATGGCTTTTTGCTTTGACCTGGCCATAATAAAATCTCGAAAGTTTCTGGTGACAGTAATGCCTGCATTGCACTAGTTAGGGCAATATTTTATACCGGTGATTTAAAAGGATTGTTAGTACCCCTTTTCAGCTGGGGTAAGCGGCTAGGAGCAAGCAGAAATAAATTTAAGCTGTTTTTCTAGAAAGGCTCTGACTGTATTATCGGATCGCATACTGTCTCCTCTCGCTTTTGCCTTCGTCCCCTCTCTGCACATGGTCGCAGCCCGTCCTGGACTGCTAGCCTTGAGAGGGGGCTGAGGGCACAGTGCGCTGCAGCATTTCAGTCTGGTTGTTGGCATCTGGAGAGTCGAGTTCCTGGTGAAGAGGAGGCTACGGCTAGGGAAAAGCTTAGGCTTGGCGTGCTTTGTACTGGCAGAGAAGTGTTCTTGGGCCTAGAGGTGAAAATCTATCCAGATCCTGTATGTTTTTTTTTTGCCAGGAGTAGAGCTTGAGCAATTAATATGAATACTGCTGCCAAGGCTCCTGGTTTAAGCTTTTAGAATTAATTCTAGTGTGTTAACTACTGTGTGTGTGAGACATCAGAGGAGTTGAACCTGGTAAGACACTGCCAAGAGATGTTAGAAGCTACGTTTTGTAATAACCTTGCAGTTTTTCACATATTGAACTTAAAATGTATGACTTCTGCGTTGTGGCAATTACAGGCTGTATTCAGATTTACCTTCGTGTATTTTCCCTATTCTGTGCTACATTTTCCGCCTGGAAAATGCCCTTTTCTTTGACAGCTGCACTTAACCGAAATGGCTAAGAGAACCATCGCCGGCTCTAGCTTTGCAGTTCCAGTCCAAAGCTTTGTACGTGCAGTTATTAAAGCCATACAGAGCAGCGGTCTGTCTGTCCTCCTTCTCTCCCCGAGTCCAAGCCCAGACTGATTACATTGCTGCCTCCTCCTCAGTTCAGTGCAGTGATCTTTGCTGCAGCGGCACGGCGTGTGAGTTCTGACAAAGTCCCAATGCATCAAGAAGTATCAGACTTACACCAAGCTTCCTGGGAATAGCTGCCTTTCCTCAGCGTGCTCCTTTATCGTAGCTGCGCGGTTCAGGCTCGTCGCCAGCGTTTCCCAGCTCCGTAGGCCCTGAGAACAAGGCTCGCCCTGGTCTCAGACCTCCCCTTTTTTGTGTGTACTGTGCTCAGTTTCGCCCGTAGGTTGGTGCAGTCTCCGTTGCACACTGCTATGATGGAATGATTTGTTTTTGCTTTACTTTATTATTTACGACGATGATCAAAGGACCCACTCCTTGTGATCGTAAAGACAAGCCTTAAAATCTTATTTAAGAGCACAAATATTTTGGGCTTTGACAGATGTGCTTTGAAAATAACACAGATGTGCAGTGTCAGATTTCACTACTGCATGCAGTGTCTTTGTTTCGAACTGTAAATTTAACTGCTAGTCCTGGGCATATGCTTTCCCAAAGCCTTCCTTGTCCCCTGCAACACAAGAAAAATAAGCTAGGTTTTGTTTTTTTTTGTTACCCCTGACTTTACCCCTTTAGAGACTTTGAAATGAAAATGATCTGAGCAGAGTGAGAATTCAGCCCTGCAAGACTGCAAATCTGTGGGTTATTTTTAACCTAATTACCTCAAATTAAAGAAAAGCTTAGGAATTTTTTGCCTGAATTGAAAATGAGGCTAAATAGACTTTATTTGCAGTGAAACTTCAGCTGAAGACATACTTCTTCCATTGTGCAGTTTAGAATAATGCCTACGGCACTGCCTTCTATTAAAGAACAGTACTTGATTTTCTAAAGCGCTGGCTTTTATGAGTTGATGCGAGAGGATATGCAGCTACGGAGCAGTTCACTCCTTTCCCGTTCTCACCACTCCTACGAGTACTGTGATCACTTTGGACTGGTGACATTTTAGATGGAACATAGTCTCCTTACACTTGCCTGGCAGTGGCTCATTAACTGCATGTTAATTGAAACTGAAAGTTTGTCAGATGATTCAATTCAGTTACATGTTAAATGGATTCAGTGAAGTAAGCATTACTGCTGTGATGAAAATCTCAGTGGAATTCATTTGTGAACTGATTTGGAGGGATTCAACGACTTTATCAGGAGCTCTGAGAGATCGCTGTTGTGAGAACTGGTGGAGGTTAGCCGTGTTCTGAGCAAAACAAATCATACTGTTCTGCTTCCCCCAAACTGCTTTAATTACTGCCCAGTATGTTGCCTTTCTAGGACATGTGTTAGATAAAATTACTCTGGAGAGCTGGGAAGAGAAGAAGAAAATTGAAAGAATTGAAAGTCTACTTTGAATTCTGAAATTCAAATAATCGAAAATGTTGAATTCTATATCGCTCAGTGGACTGAGCAGTCGTAAACTTTACCTAAGTTTGACTCAAACATATGTTAAAATAAAAATGTATCTGCTTTAAACTAACAGACAGAAAATTCAAAATTTACAATCCCCATAACTCATCTTTCATATTGGGCCACTGCAGAAGTCTCTGTTAAGTGAGCAATTTATTCTGTATGCTGTATCTGCTTATATGCTTGGTTTCAATGTGGAGCGAGTTTTTATTGCTGAGTTATAAACTCTTTGAAAACAGGAGCTTGTAATGGAAATGCTGACAGACCTTTAACTAGGTCAGTCTTATCTGACTCCATTATCTTTGCTTTTGTTAAAGCATTAAATGGCTGCATATTGTTTATTTTTCTCGCACTCCCAGAATTTTAACGTGGGTATCTTATTGAATTGGTGTTTCTTTAAAATGTCACAAACATGCAGCATTAAGAGAGTTTATCCAAACTTCACAGTGATCTTTACATTGAACTGTTGTGTCTTCTTTCGTGATTTTCTTGCTTATACTGTACATTTAGTTTGTAGTATTGTCATTATGATAGTAATACCAGAATTTACTTTTTCTCCTTGTATTCTGTCTCAGTCTTGAATTTTGCTTTGTGTTTTATGCTCCTGTCTACATAAAATGATAATTATGTTTTTTGTTTATCCCATTCAGATGAAAAGCCATACAATTGCAATTTTTCTAAAGAGGAGACACCTATGGCAACATCTCAGGTGGATGAACTTCCAAAGCTCGGAAGCCACAATGCCAGAGAAAAGGAGGCCAATGAGTCTAAAACAGAGATACCAGCGTTGGTGTCTGCACTGGGGAACATGATCAAGGAGCCCTTTTCAAAATACCAAGATCTGAGAGGTCCTGCAGATGTAAAGATGCCAGCGTTTCACCACAGCCAAGGGCTTGCTTGCTCCAGTCACATTGCTAACTTCGCTTCAGGTGTGGGCCAAACATCTTCAAACAAGGCCATGGGCTTGAAAACATCACTTGAAATGCAGGCTGGTCGCTCTAAAGAAAATTTGCCAGACTTACGCAGGGAGCTTCCTCTGATAGAAAAAGGTGCTGAAGCTCAAGAGGTAGTTCCACTCGATTTGAGTGAAAAATCAACAAGGGATAATTCATGCAATAAGAATGGGAGTACATCCTTGCAGGCTGCTTTAATTGTCTACCCATGTCCTTTCTGCAGTCACAAGACCTACTACCCTGAAGTCCTGTGGATGCATAAAAGAATTTTGCACAAAGTCAGCTGTAACGCCATGGTTCCCCCTTGGGTTCAACAGAATGGATTCAAGAGTATTAAAAACAACTTGGTTTTTCTGGCAAGGAGTGGACGTACTGGCCCCCCTCCTGTTCTCGGTGGTAAAGAATGCCAGCCTTTGCCCGTTGCCAGATTTACGCGCACTCAAGTGCCAAGTGCTTTGCCAGGATCCAAAACCAGCTCCCTTCCTGTTGGGATGACTGCTAAGTCTGGGAGTGTGCATCAGTCCAAGGACAGTCACACATTTGGCCACTGTGGACCACGTGTATCAGGTCTTGATGGGTACAGGCAGCCCAAATTAAACCATTCCCAGGAGCAATACAGCATAGCAGCACAACAGCCTCCCCTGAAAAATAAGTATGAAGCAAATTCCAAACTTATGCAAATGGGAGCCTTTAGCAGAAGTGTAACGCCTACTCAGACAGTCATATCCAGGCCTAGTGCACAGCCTACCAGCAGTAAGCAAATGGAGAAGTATGTGGTTCCCCAAGGGAGTACCAGTTTTGCCCCCTCAGGTAAGCACTGTGCATCCGATTCCATGAAGGCCAAATTCAACCCACCACCACAGTATCATCCTCTGTGCAAAAGCGAGCAGTACACTAAACATGAAGAGCCATCGGTGCCTCAGAGGGAGTCTCACATAAAGGCTGGGAATGAGCTGAGGACATTGGCAAACTGCACAGCAATGGCACGAGCAAGTCCACTAATGCAGCCCCAGCCTAGTGCAGCAGGAGTGTCTCCAGCTTTACACTCCAGCAAACAGGATCCGGGATCAGATGGGCATGAAAAACGTTTGGACATTTTAAATATCTTTAAAACGTACATTCCAAAGGACCTTGCTTCGCTGTACCAAACCTGCGGTGCCAACAGCCCTGTTCTGGATCACGCAGGTATAATTTCACAAGCCCTTCCATAGCTGAGGATCTAGCTTGCTTGTTTCTTTTTTGCTTTGAGCTGTCATACGTTGTTTTGCAGTTTCTTCCTTCCTTCTCTCGTTTTAACTGTTGGGATTATAAGTTCCTTGTTTTATCATTGCTGGATAGGCTTGAATAGATTTGTTTATGTATCTCTAACATTGCAGCATCCCCTCTCGGACATGGTGACATTTCTATCACAGGTCAAATGTATTTTGTTCCACCTGGCGTATTGCTGCTCCTTTGTCCCTTCGCTTCGAGCAGGCTAGAGTTACACAGATGTTCTGTCACGCTAAGATCCCTGTGATACCCTGGTGCTGGCACACATCATAATCTTTTTGCTTCAGGCAAAATAAACAACCTCTGGGGCTTATCTGTGATGTTATTTTGGAGGATTTGTTCAATTTTCTCTGCAAACAAGTTTTCCTACAACAGAGAGAGATAATCACTTGTCAGTGTCCTTTGTCTTTCTTGACAAAAGTCTTAAGATCTTCCTTGTCCTTAACAAAGACTGCTATAGTATTTTTCAGATGATTCTTTTGATTTGTTTGTGTGTTTCTAATTAAAAGGAGGCAAAGCCAAATATGTCTGCTAGTTCACATAGGCAGGAAAGGCAGTTGTGCAGATAGCTGGTTTAAAGTTCAGGGACAAAAAGAGTACTACACTTCTCCTTCTGTCTTTACCAGTCAACTGCCACATTAAAAAAAGAAAGGAAAGAAAGAAACCTGTGCATTTGTGTGTGAAACCATGCTTTTTTGACTGTCTGCCAGAATTAGTTTGTGTTAGTGGAAACTGAACATCACTGCCATCTATTAGCCTTGAGAAGGGTGGCAGCGGAGAAAGGGAATCATAGTCCCAGCTCATACCATTTGTAAACCATACCTTTTTTTTAATATACTTCTCCAAGTAGAAGCTGTGCAAGAAATTAATTCCACATACAAAGAGCACTCATTTCAGACCTTTCATCCTACAACTATCTAGTATCCTTATCAGGCATAATGCTCTCCACCTTTTTTGTTAAAGGAATATGTGAAATGCAGCTTATGACTATTTTATAAGTGGGATGAAAGCCAGGACATTTGGAAGTTGATAGTCTAAGAACAGTTGTGACTGAATTCCCAGCAGGTGTAAAGCTTTGACCACTCTGGCAGCTATGAGGCAAGGAAAGACCCATAGTGTTCAGTCAGGTCTTTATTGAAGGCCTTTTGGAGAAGACAGGAAGGCAAAATCTGTCTGAAATACTCCATGAGGAGCACCTTTCACCCACTATATCGTCAGTTTTGCTCAATCAGTTAAGAAGTATTGCTATGTAAGAGCTGATTGTTATTTATTGTTATTAAAGGGATAATTTTGCAGGTGTTAGCGGTTATGTGATTATTATAGCTATCATGGAGCTCCCCGTTGTTGTTACGGAAGCAGAGGAGAAAGGCCTTCTCTCCTTCTAAAAAAACGTGGTCGGTGTTCCTGCTTCTGTATCCGCTAGTCCACAGCTGACTTGCCTTTGGCCATTGCTGCACCTAGGAGCATGCTCTAAAGTTTCTCCCTGCCCTTTTCCTGCTCTAAATACCAGTTAATTGTTCCTCCATCAACTTTGGGTACCTTAATGTGGGTGAACTCTCCCTGATGTTGTTTAATACTACAGCGTGTTGATCTACTCAGAGCAATCTTACTGATCCAGTGAGCTCCCAGCTGTGTTAACAGGGATGGAGAAAAGCAGCAGAAGCTGACTTCAGTAAATACAGGCACCAGAAAACATATGAGAAATGTAAGGGCAAAATAAAGTAGGGGCAAGGTTTTCAAGGAATTCTCTATTGAGCTGCTTATTAAAAGAGGGATTTTATCGTCAAATAGTTTTCGTTGGGGGGTGATTTCCAAAGACATTTTAACTGGAATTTATTTAGTGCTCATCTTTGCTTTGAAATCTCTTTTTTCGTTCAGAGTGGTTTATAGCCATCACGTTTTCAGAATTTGAACCCTTTTGTTTATGCAGCTTGTCTTCGTGTTATATACAACTTCCAGGTTATTGATGGCTTTTCAAACCAATTGGCAGGATGGCTGTTTTTCATAATACCAAAATAAAAAGCTGCTGCAGGCAAAGGATCAGGGTCCGGCCCCCCAAGTACGGGAGGCTAACAGGGCCGTCTCTGAAATAACGCATGGTCCTCGACTGAGCCCTCTGAGTCTTTGTCAGTATGCATCATGCAAATAAGTCTTCGTATGGCGATATGAATTTGGCAATCATGACATGAAAAACAAAACCAAAAATCCCAGGGAAGGCTTGGGTACATGCTTAGTCACATGTTTTTTCCCCACTGAATGTTCCTGATTGACTTTAACTTGGATGTGCAGTGCACTGCCTCCTCCTGGATCATACTAGAATATTTTAGTGTGTGGTAATGCAGGGTTATAACCTTTGCTTTCAACTTTATTCATATTGGCTGGATTTGTTTATGGGGTCCTTGTACATAATGTGTTTTTTAAAGAGGGTGGTGTCCTTGGAAAAGAGTTGTAAGTATTGTTGCAATCCAGTGGCAAACACAAAGGCTTCTGTGCTTACGCTAGGTTTGTTTCACACTGCGCAGACTGCCCAAACACTTCTAGAGAAAATCTTTTTGTTATATTTAATAGCGGTTATTTATTTTATTTACGTTCGGGTTCTTTACATGATTTGTGGTATTAGGAAAGGATGGGGCAGGGCAGCAGTCTGAGTATTGGTTTCATAGGAGTTCCCATTCAGATAGTCACGTTGGTGTTCATTTACCTTAATTTGCTGCCACCTGTAGTCATCCACCCTCTTTTGTTCCCATGTAGTGTATCCTGAGTGGTGACTCACAGGGGTGTTACCTTGCAACAATGATGCCCATAGAACAAAGCCCTGAAGTATCAAAGGCCTCATGGTGCTTCTTAGGAAACACAACAATGGCAAACCTACCTGGAAGCCATCCATTTTTTTCCCCGCCTGTTTTCTAAATAACTGCCACTAGGGAGGGGTCAGGTGAAAGTGCTAACCCAATCTCACGTTTTGCGTTTGTGTAGGACAGGTTAGTTTAGGACAATATTCGAACCGTCCCCCCTCTGCTAAAAATACGATATGGGAGGTGAAATGAGTATTTGTCTTTACACTCTTAAGCTAACCGTCAGTTACTTGGATAACCTCTCGCCTCAGTTTCGTAGGGGTTTGAGACTTACAAGTTTCAAGGCTGTGGAGGAGCAGCGCTTTGTGATGGGTTACTGTCATCAGTGTACGGGGACAGTGTGGGCAGACTGAGGAGTACACAAGCCTGACCGTTTCTAAAGGCATTTGGTTTTTTGTTCATATGGTTGAAATAAAACATCTAGAGATGGGAATTGAAGCTCTTGCTGTATTTGGTAGCAGAAAAGCCAGTTCCTGTCACACAAATTTTCACAAAAAGGGGTCAGAGAAGAGTATTTTCTTCTTCTTTTACAGACAGAAACTTGGGGTATAGAAAAGATTAAGTGTCTTTCCAGAGGTCACACACAGCCCTCCGTGAAACCCAAGTCTTCCGGGTCCTGCTGGGAACCGCTGGGCCGACAGAGGGTCGGCTCTCGGCGCAGTGGGTCACCAGAGCCTGGTTCTGCTCCCTTAACGCGCTTCATTTCGCTTTGCTCTCAAGCTTGCAGCTGTAGTTGTTCTGGCCAGTTGTTCTGGTGTTGTTGTTAGCAAAAATACTAATAATAGGCCAGAAAATCTGCTTTAATCTTTAGCACCTTCCAAGGCAAATCCATGTCTTTATATTTCTGTGAAGCTGTCATTGAAATTGATGTGATTTTTTTTTTTTTGGGTGAGTATACAGAATCTAGGTTTTGGCCCTAAATCATGGATCTTGTGTTCAGCTGCGAGAAGCTGATTGTTGCAAGCCAGTCTGCTGAGCTACATTATATAGACTGTACTGCCATCTACAGGAGGTGCTGTTATAAAAGGAGATAACAGAAATAGGATTTTTGAGTGTTTTTTGCAACCAGCCATTTATTTACAGTGTACGTTATGGTAAAAATCAGCACAAGACGCTGGTGCCGTATCAGCAGGGTAAATGGCAGGCGATCATCTTTTCCACTCATTTTCAGGTACAGCGGTCTCTAGTTTGGATGAGCCCTCTGGCATCCTGTGGTTAGTTTTCAGTGGTTACTTTTTTGCCACTTTTTTGTTCACAGTTTTACTCTGCTAAAATGCAGCGGTGTGGGGAGATGAAACTTCACTTCCACTGACAAACCCCTGAGAATTTCTTTAAAAGCCAGAGTCTTCCAATGGCAAAAAAAAAAAAAAAAAAAAAAATCAAGCCTTTCCTTCTGAGGAGGGCGTTTTACCAAAATAGAAAAGATGATGTTCAAGCATTTTTTTAAAAAGCCCAATAAAAGTCAAATGTGTCTTTTTTGATCAGCAGTAAAAAGACAAAGACCAGCCCTTTAAGTCAGATACTGTAAACTGACCTTTGGAGAAAAAGGAGAGGTTTGAGCGGGTTTTCCACAAATGCTAATGGCCTAGAAAACATGTTTACCAAGGGCTGGTAGAAGGCTGCTGTGCTGCTACTAGCTCAAAATGTCCGGAATGACACTTTCATTCACAGATGTCTTTCGTCTGTGCCTCAGAGGTCCGAGGTCAAAGCAGCACCGGCAGGCAGGTAGGCAGGGGCTAAAGGTTTGATCAGTTTGTGATGGCTCCACTCACTCTGCATTTGTCTCTAAGGTATTGCCGCCCGGGGGGGACAGTCGGGCTCTGGTCCTACTCACTTCCTATTATCCATGTGACTTGTCTCCTCCACGCTGGAGTCACTTTGATTTGCCTGATGTACTGCTTGACAAAGCTGGGTGATGGCTGAAAAGTGGATCCAGCTGCTCGGAGAAGCGCACACCTGACATGCCAGTCCTGGTGCGGGCACATCACGGGGAGCATTTTTTAATTCAATGTAATTTATGCATTCTTGCAGTCCTGTGTGTGCCTGGCCTGTCAGCCAGTGCCTAGATGAAGGCTGACAGTTGTCATCCAGGGCCTGAAGGTAGCCTCACATAATGACACATTAGACATACTAATGATGTTTTCTTCTGGCATAATGTTTTCTTCTCAACTTTTCTCTCTCCTCTCCCCCTGCCCCCCCTTTCCCTCCCTCCTCCCCTCCCTCCCTATCAGCTACAGGGATGCTTAGGACACAAACACGCCAAGGAGACTGTGTCTGCAGAGAATGTGGAAAATGCTTTAACCAGCCCAGTCACCTCAGGACTCATCAGAGGTCCCACACAGGTATCTTTTCACGCTTGTTCTTGCTCTCGCTCTTCCCTGCTTTCCTTCTTTCCGATCCAGCTAAGAAAATGCCAGGAATTATGTTTACGTCCCATGTTAACCTAAGTAATTTCAATACCTAAATCTCATACGCAAGTTCTTTATTTTTATGACTGTTGCTCTTGTTCACCACATATTGCTTACCTGATTTTCCCCCCTGCTCTGAACTCTATAAAATGGCAATGCATTTAAGATAAGTCTGTTTGCAAATGTTTTATTTTAATTAGAGAGTAGGCTACTCAGAAATGAATATGCTAATGAATTCTGTTGCCACCAGCACACATTGAAATCAAAGTACCCCTTTCAGCAGAACATAAGGCTTTGTTTTGCTTCATCATTGCTGTTGACAGGAACATTTTTGTAGGAAGCTAGATTTTCCTCAGACCGGTCACTTACAAAAATCTGAAATCCCTAGCAGCCATTTTAAAACTTGGAACGATCTATTGTTGAGAATGTAGGAAGATAAAGCTACCAGTGTTGAGATACCTCCTGAGCATTACATGAGACAGTGAGACCAGCGGGTTCTTTCTGAGAAGTGTGAATGATGCATACATAAGCCAGTCTGATGCAAAATGACAGAGGCCAAATGGTAAGTAATGCAAGAAGAGGGTCCCTTTACACGTACACTGATAATTAATGTTGTCAGTGATTGCTTTCTTCAGCACCGAAGTCTGAATTAAAAAGGGCAGTGGCCCTAGGCTGCCATTAGCACACTCTCTTACAGTAAGTGTTACGGTAAATTGGTATTTTCCGGCCACAGGCTAGTAGCTGGTGTCTTTTTTTGAACGTGGTTAATCTGTAATGGTCTCAAATAATGTACACACACTAACGAAGCTTGAATGTTCATCTGTTAACAAGCCCCCTTGTTCCCACAGTGGTATTTGAGTCTAATGGACTCCGAGGTACTGAAGTTCACACCACCTCCGCAGATGCCCCAAAACAAGTATGTTTGACAATTAATTGGGTGTTTGGTTTTTAATGTGGTAGCTGGGAAAAAGTTGCACAGTGATACTCATCAGTAAAGCACTGACTATTTTATAACAAATGTATGAATAATAACAGTGTTGCTTGATTTTTAGCTCGTAAAATTTTTAAGCATTTTATCAAAGTCTTCTGTAGAGAGACAATTAGTTGTAGATCAGGTAACTACTGCTTAAATAAAGATGTTACTGGATTACTTGGGAGTGGGTGGGTTGAGTGACTGTAATGCAGATTATACATAACAGAGAGATAGTATTTTAAGAATTTCTAGAAATAATTTACTTTTACAACTCATCCATTATCTGCTGCAACAATACAATTAACACTTGGTCTGTGTTTTTCTGAAGAGTATTCCTACCATAATATCCTGTAGCTTGTCTTGAACGGCTCATATCTCTCAGTTCTGTGGACTCAGTGTGGTGGTGAGCTTTCCTGTTCCTAGTATACAGCGCTTCCTGTCTTGACAGACGCTTCTCAGCACTCTGAATTATACATGACAAAGCTCTTATGTAGAAAACCATTAAACTGAATTTATTTTGTATCCCTAATGACTTTGGAGACCAGTGTCGTAACATAGACCTTCCCACTCCATCTTCAAACTTGGCGAGGGGGTTTCAGGGCATACCTTCTCGTAGGAAGTTTTCTTTCATTGTGCAGTGCCTCAAGTACCACTTGTTTTTCCACCTTCCATCCACATTTTTTATTAGCTTTTTACTACCACAGTTTTCCTGTCCTCCTGTCTCTTATTAAACAAGTGCAGATGATTTTTGGCCATGCCTAGAGAATGCAGCTTGGTGCTAGTCCCAAGTCTGAGCCTTTGTGAGATCTAAGAGTTGTTTCTACTTGCTGCGTGAGCATCCTCACCAGATGCCACTGCGTTGCTTGGTTTGTGTGCTGCATGCTTCATAGAGGCTCCAAGTGGCTTCTCTGTTGTCCTTTCTTATTTCCCCTGGACATCCTGAGGTTACTCTGGGGATCCAGCCTTTGCTACAGGGATATCTGATGTTGCCATCGGGCCATAGGAGTGGCCTACAGCTCTCCTTAAGAAGTTTTCACATCTGGTGCTAGTTACTTGTCATGACTTAAAGCTGTGAGTGTGACTGGTCCTTACTACGAGTGATGTAAGTTTGAGTCTCAGCCCATTTTTCAGTTTTTAAAGAATCATAGAACCCAATGTCAATGGTTGATTTTGTTAGCAATTGCAAGAGAAGTGAAGCCTGAAATGGTCATGAATACTGAATCTTTCCAAGGACGTTTTTCAGACCTGGGTGTGGTGGGATATGCTGCCATTGCCTAGACTGTCCCAGAGTTTCCTTCTTTAGCACTGTCAGCGTGTCACCTTTAATGACAATGAATTTACATGGGAAACTTCAGAAAAATAGTGCCAGTGGTTTTCCTCCTTCTTCAAATAGGACAGTGCTTCCTACTAGACAGACAAACTTTAAGCCATGCCTTAAAATTTGTTTTCATTCCCACACAAGGGATTTTTTTCAGAAAGCTCCTTCTACCTCCATTTGCCCTTCCTCCAGTTATTTGTCAAGCTTGTGCCTTGATGGAAAAAGTAATCTTCTCTGTAACATTAACAAGATTTTCCGTGTGTAGTAGAGCTTTGAATGGAATCAACATTTCCTGACCTTTACCACTGAAATGCAACTTCTATTTTACGAAGATGGCACAGCACTTTGATTGTGGTCGTGGGGGCGGTTTGTTTGCTTTGTTTTTGTGGGACACTAACAGCAAAGTTATGCTACAGTTGGAGAACTAGATAGTGAGACTGCAATTGGCGCCATCAAAGAGTGCTCTCTTTATGGGACTTATCTAATAAAATGGTGCTGGGACATCCCTCTTGGTAAAAGCATATGATAGGGTGCAGCTCTGTGAACTAGATCAGGAGTCTTTGGTTCTCATCAGTTTAGTAACGTATAGATTTAGTAAAACTAAACACCCTTAAAATGCTTGCATTGTTGGGTCTCTTTTATCTCTTCATGTTTGTGGTTTATCCCATATATGGTTTATCCTTATATATCCCTATATATATTTATCCTTCAGTGATTCTGAGGGCAATGTTTTGGCTTTTGGGCCTTTTTCCCTCTGAAAGACAATGTAAGGTCAAAATTGGAAAAACATTTCCAGAGAATTCTGAAATGGCCATATCTATCTGAAGAGAGATGTGGCAACTCAGTCGGAGTCTTTTTATAATTCAGGTTATATTACTGCACAATAAATTTACTCATAATCTTGTCTTTGTAAACTACTGCCACGCCAGAATTTATTGACTAACCTCTTCCACAGCAAATGTAGTTTGCTGTTGCAGTCTCAGTCCATGTCAATCTGTCTTCGAAGAATTTGATTAAATTACAACATCTCTCAATACAGCAGAATACTGGATAGAGGTTAGGTTCATGAATTGCTTTGTCTCTTGCCAATCCGTATTTCTTTCACAGAAGTTGCAGTATGATCGCTTCTCCAGGAGGTAGTTTCCTTCCTTTTGTCTTGTTCGTTCTTTAACTTCACCCTTTGTCTCAGTTTGTCAGCGTCTATGTCAATGAAAATTTTTCAGTTGTCTGCTGTTTTTCTTGTTCTCGTAGCAAACAGGCTTGACGCTCCCCCAGAAGACTCTGCATAGTCCCTACCTTTTACCAAGGGAATACTTTCATTTCTACCTGCAACTGTAGGGGCCTTTAGAAGCACAGAAACTAGCTCACACAGAGAACAGTGCCTGCAGCATTCTGGTAACATAACTATTTCCCAGTTAAAACATTGTCACTCTGTGTCTTCATTTCATTTCTTAATTGGGGACAGATCTTTTCAGGAGAGTTTACAGTGTAAAGTCAGTTCAAGTAAGGGAAGTGCCATGCACATGCTCCGAGCAAGAAACAATAGCTACCACGTTCGGTAGCTTTAGAATGAAGGGTTTTTTACATTAAGCGAGTGTGATTTGCTTTGCATAATGTTTCCTCCTTACAGGTAAAATACCTTCCCCTGAGTAGTCTGTTAAAGAGTAAAAATATTAACATTAGTATATCACAGATCCCCCATTTCCTTCAGTAGTCAAGAGGAGATCTCCTCTAAAGATTTCCGGTATAAAAGACTGTTAGGTAAGGCTCTTAAAATTCCCCAACGTAGTAGCTTACAACAGTGCTACATTATATAGCTGTTTTCTCTCAGAGTAATTTAAATCCAGCATGTTAAAAATAAGGTCTACATCAAGGCTTTTTCAAAAACGAGCCCGTTAAATCTATATTTAGATATCTAAATAGAAGCCTAATTTAGGGCAATGAACCGCCAGCAGGAGATGCAGGTGTTCAGCAGCACTGAAAATTAGGCCATGTATAGGGGTATGTAAAGAAGACTATACACACGCAATTTGGATAATATTAGCAGTGGACTGCATTTCATATTTTATCATCAACAGCAATGAATTGTAAACAAAAATAGGAAATAAGATGGTTATCTGCTTTGTAATAGTATTTTCTGCTTTCCCTTTATTTCCAGCTGAACGGTTTAAAAAAAATAAAAGACTTTTTCCATCAAATACATTTCCTTTGAACTCTAGAATATTTCCTAGTCTAACTCTGAAGGACAAAAACGCTTATTGCATATCCCGAATCAATGCAATCTGTGCAGAGTCATGCAGATTCTCTTGAAATGCTGCCATGTTAAATGCAGCGAATATTCTGAATATTTTTATAAATGCTAAATATCCCAATATATCCATAATTAAGCTTGCTTATCCACAATGAATATGTATCTTAATTTGGAATACACTAAGTAGCATCCAAAGACCTGATTTAGTAAGCATGAATTCTGGAAGCACGCTTGAATTGTTTATATGGTGTAAGACAAATGCTGGCTCCTTTTTGGAAGGGTCCCTGTGACTGCATAATCTCAACGCCACTGCGACTCTCAGAGCAAAATTCTCCTAAGACATTGGGTCATGTCAGAGGAATTACCTGCTTCTGCAGCATTGCAGCCAGAAGCCCAATTCCCAAGTGTGTCCAGTGGCACACGAATCAGTCTGCAGTCTGCTTGTACAAAATGGTAACAGCAGTGGTAGCATTTGCCTTGTGTTACATATTTAGAAACATGTACAAACTTGGCCTGCTTTAGGAATATAGTTTAACCTCTCTCTCTGCTGTGTTGGACAATATGTTCTAAAAGTTATAAAGGACAGGCGATTGGGTTTTTAAAAGGCCATGATTTACTGATCAGCACCAGTGGAGACTTCTCATCTTCTTAGGATTATATATATGTAAAGCGTATTTACAGTGCTGGAATCGAAGCCATTGAGGTCTCTGTTCAGATACGCTTTTTGTGCAAATGAAACAAGCAGAAAAACAAAATACTCCAGCCTTTCTCCCTTCAGAAAAAGTGCCTTTTTACTCACAGAAAAAGCAATTAAAAACTAGAGCCCATGAGAAAAATAACTACTGAGATCATGGATGTCTCTGGCAGAAGCTCTCCTCATGCCAGAATGTAGGGGCACTCTTTTTAAGTGAAAAAAATGTACATAGCACAGTTCTGGAAGCTCATTCACTGAAAGGAGACAGCAGAAATAGTTACTACGAGAGTTGTATGCAGTCTTCGTTAAGGAGGCAGAACCATAAGCCCACATTCTCTCCAGAGTAACTGTTAAAAAAATTTTTTTTTAATGGTCAGTGCTGAGATAACATAAATGTAAATGGTCAGAATTTGGGGAGTAGGCAGACTGGAAGGAACCAACAGGAAAACACTGTATAGGTTGCAAAGGGGCTTGGGGGAAGGCTGAGGACATCTGTTACCTCTAGCGTTCATCTAGTCCAGCTGCAGTACAGCTCTGCTTGCCCCCTGGCTGGGGGGAAAAGGGGAGGGGGGAAAAGGAGGGGAAAAGAACAGATGAAAAGTTACTTAAACTATTGGTTTCTGTTTGTTTGGGGGGTTTTTTGTTTTTGTTTTTTTGCTTTTCAAATTTTAACATAGTCAGTTAGAAGTCGTACTTACGACATTTGTTCGTATGAAACGTCTTGCCCCAGTTCCTTGCAGAGTTTCTTTTAAAGATCATGATTAATAGTTCAGTCCTCATTATTGCAAATGTTATTTTTAAATAGTTATTCTGAGAACAAGAATTCCATTAATCAAAATAATAGATAATGAACAAATAAATGGCAACCTAATTTGTCTCGTTCATACATATGGAGATTATAATGCAAACAATCAAGGAGTCGCCGAGGCTGTTGCACTGGAATCTGAGCGATGTGTATGTCTGTTAGTTTACGAGCGTTACGGACAGGAGTAGCAGCTATGGCTCTTGTCCCAGCGTTTTCACCTTGCCTATAAACTGCAAAGGTATCCACACTCCAAACTGATTACCGCTGTTTATTTAAATGTCGCACAATAATCTGTTTCCAGTATATTAAGCTGCGCATAAACTGAATTTTCCTTTTTCCAGTTAAGGCCCTAGAATTCTGTATGGAAACAGTTTCGGCACGGAAGCTAGAGGGTTGTCTTTAGTAGAAAAGCCCTGCTTTTTTCCTCTAAAATTCTTAAAGCGGAGAAAACCTACGTTTCAAAACGGTAAATTTTTACTTCAGGAAGCAAGTAATACAGGTATATATCAGGTGGTTCAGACATCGACTAGAACACCAATGTATTCTAAAACCAGATGTTTAGATGTTTTAGATGTTTTTATTCTAAAACCAGATGTTTAGGTTTTAATTTTCTGCTGGAAAGCACACCTCTGGTTCCATTTCGAATAGAGAAAATGACAGATGGGCCAACGCAAAGGCAAGGGAGGGAGCAGCAGCGTGCCCAGGTTTTGGGCACGTTTCCAGTTGTGACAGCGGCACGTGCTGGGGTAGGGGGGATGCCCATCCCAGGGCCCGTTTTTCATTTCTTCCCTCCAGAAAGGGGGGCAAGGTGGCTGCCCTCCCACAGCCCAGCGAAACGCTGCTGCGCTCGCTGGCGTCCGCGGAGTCGGTTCAGTACGAGACATTTCAGTGACGGATGCCTCTTCGTGGAATTGCGGCTCTGTCTCTTAGGGGTGATGCAGCCGTGCAAAAATGTAAAGCATCTTTCTGAGTTTACTGCAGGAAATTCAGCATCCAACTAAGGAAGTTTTATCACATCTCTCATTCAGTTACTGTTTCCTACATTTCAAATATACTGCGGTCTGTACAGAAGCTTTTTTTTTCTTTAATTTTGTTGCAAATCTTTCCGACTTAAACCAAACTTTGACTGGTAAATGTCATGAATCTTGGGCCAGGTTTAATTAGGAATTTTCTAAATCTATTAACAAAGGAGATGCACTTAATACATTATGTCAGCCAGAGCTGGGCTTTCTTTAGCTATTTCTAGGGCTGCCATAGGCACAGCTTGAAACTTGCTTGGATTTTACATGGGTGCCGTATTTTATGTTGCATTAATTTAAAATGGTCTGTTTCACTTCATCAAGACTTTAGCTTAAGGATAATGCATTTATGTAAGATTAATCTTGCCATGTTGTTTTAGGATCAGGATTGTAAACTGCATTGTTCCGACAGTGATGTTCTAAATGTCATTTTAAAGCTTTTCCTGGGAGCTGCAGGCTCCCACTTATTCACGATTTTATCTTTCATTTCACTTGATTTTTAGAATATCCCTTCAGTTTTCTTAACGCGGTAATTATTCATGGAAATTGGCTAAAAAAAAAAATAAAAGGAAGATGACAAGAGGAGGGGAAGAAAAGCTTTCTTAGCTTTTGACAGACCTCAAACTTCAGTCTTTTTAAGACTATGATCTAGTTATGAATCCCTTTTGGCTAACACACAGTTCTGCTTTTTGGAGGCCTTCCTCCCTTCTTCCCTTTCCTAGAGAGGCTTTGCTCCCTCCCTCCGTGTTCGTAACCTTTGCAGAGTTGCTCCTTCAGACACCTACTCGCTGTTCTAGTCCATGCAGCAGTTTATAAGGGCCTGGCACACTTTGCTCTCACTGGAGACTATTAAAAAACAAAACAAAACTCTTTATGATGTGTTAGGCCAAAATTAACGTGCACAATGCTAATGAAAGGTAACCAATGCCAAAAAGAGGCTCGAGGTTGCCGGGCTCCTCTGAGCGGGAGCAGAGGGGTAAGTGTGAAAGGGAGGGGAATGAGGCAAAAAACGAGCTTTCCTGTTTGTCGTCTTTCTGTTGCAGGGGAGAGACCATTGCAGCGCGGACGTTGTCCATACGGTGCCTCTGAGGAAGGGGACCTAAGGCCCCCGGTGGAGCGAGAGCAGGAGCAGGAGTGGCGGCGGGCCCCTGCCGGGGGGTGCCCGTGCTCCCCGCGCAGCCGCCCCGGCGGAGGAGCCGCCGCTGCAGCGCTTCCCCGCGAGCTCTGTGAGATGGCAAACAGCGCTCCGTGCTCTGCTAGGAGGGGGATGCCTCTGCACTGTTAATCATTTTAAAATAAATGAAGATGCTACACAAGATATATATAAATTGACGTACTAATCAGTCCCATGGTTCCTTATTTCCTTTATAATAAACAGTGGAGCTGGCAAGCACTGTGGCAGCACAAGGCATCTATATTAATCAAGAGAAGTTTGAGACACTGGAAAAATTAAACTTTATGTGATTTGGACAGCATGAAGAAGTTAAGCACTGTAACAAAAACCTCCCTGATGCTCACAATGACTATTTGATACATTTGAGAAACAGCGGTGGATTCGAGGGCTGGAGAAGTATTAATTAATGAAACTGCCACTGCCTGTCATGCTGGAAAGCAAATGGAAAAAAAAAAAAAGAGCGAGAGAGGAAGAAAGGCGGGGTGTGGGGAAAAGGTGGCATTCGGTGCTGAGAAAGCGAGGCTTAATGAAGGATTAAAGAGACTAAAGAGAAAGACCGTCATTCTGCGATGGTTTGTTTCATTACAGTTTGGGGACCACTTGCATTTCTAGTGCTCTTGTTCTTGACTGCGCACCACTGATGGTATGTGAATATGGAAATTGAAACACTTCCACAGCAAAGCTTCTGTTCTGCTTTGGGAAAGAAAAGCTAGTTGAACACTAAGAAAAACAGGCTTCTGTGTTTTACTCTCAGGACCTTTTTTGTAACAGGGCTACTTTCTTCGACCTGATCACAAAGGAAGTCTTCACGTTTTAAAAAAAAAAAACAAAAAAACAAAATATGCTCAGCTGTTTAAAGCCGCTGATCTGTATGTTTATAATGGAAAAGGAGTCACTGAACAAGTTCAGGCAGACCGTGGCCCTTTGGGTACTATAAGCTCCTGCATTTTGTTTGGCAGGCCAGCTACCGCTCCTTTCTCGGCCTGGTGACGTTTTGAAAAGACGAGTAACTTCTTTTGTGGTGGCAGGTTAATGTTCCCATGATGTGTCATGTCTTGTACTTGGTGATCACTGGTGGTGTTAGAAAAAAAAAAAAAAAGCTTTATATACCTCTTCTACAGTAACTCTTTAACTGCAAGTTTTCAAGGTGGGGTTGTGGCACATAACAGGTTGTTAAACCATGCAGTGTAAGCAATTAAAAATGTATTCCACAGATATAAATATTTTCTTTTCTTATTGCTGTGACACTATGTGTGATGGTAATATTTCTGAGAGTTTCAGATTTTGCACATATAATTTTATGCATTATCAAAAGTTACTGCTGCCTTGAAAGAAAAACGTTCTGTGAAAATTTTTGCAAAAGCTTTACTAGTTTTTTTTAATTGTAACATTTTATAAAGGCAGGAAATGGATTAAAAAACCCTAGCATGCTAAATATATTTTTCAAAAAAGCAATAATTTTACATGTACAGAAATGATGCTAACCTTTAATACAGGTGAGAGCAACAGGTTACTTAATACAATAATGAAATAGTGCTGTTTTTGTAGAAATGGGCTTCTGACACAAAGATTTGTTTAAAAAAAAAAAAAAGCGTGATCTTTCTGTTCTAAAAGTTGTGGGTGGGAAGGTTGTTTTTTTTAAAAAAAATCTAGTCAGTAATTGATTCTGGATACTACTTGTACTTGTTTTAAATTACTTGACAGTTTTTGTTACTTTGCAACACTTGCAACAATGCAAATTAACTTTCTTATGTATTTTTTTTACTGGTTTTTCCTTATACTATTACACCAGATATATACCAGAATTCTCTGTAAGCCCTGGTGTAGTTAGGAATGTCTGTGCAAATACTTATAAGTGACTGTAATTAACTGTTTTGTGAAGTTATGTTGAGGGAGGTTGCGTAGACACATTCCATTGTACACCAAAAAAAAAAAAAAAGAAAAAATGAAATTTTTTGCTGTGTTGCTTAATGATTGATCATCATTTTGGGTTTGCACTAGCTTTCTCTTTTTTTTTTTTTTGGTTTTGTTTTGTTTTTGTTTTGTTGCTTTTCTGAGTCATATTTTCCATGAGTGAAAGTAATGGCAACAGTTCAGGAATGCACAAAAGCTAGTTGCTTAGCCTATTTGTTTGTGTTTTAGTTATTAAAAACTCTTATGTACCCAAAATGGCATGAAAGTGTAGTGTACATTTGTAATTTCTCTTTTTTTATTTTCTTTTTTTTTGCAAGCTGTTAAGAGAAAATCTCAGTTAATATTTAGAGCCAAAAGCTTCTTTTTGGAGCTTTTCTTCCAGAATATCTGACAGAGAAGCTAGTGCTGTCACTGCCATTTCCAGGGTACTAATCAGCAAAGTTTACAATCATAATTTAGCTACATGAAGAACAACACTAGGGGAAATAGTTTAAATAATTATATGCTGTGTATAGCACAGAAATGAGATTTTCAGTTAATTAAACAAGAAATAAGAATGGGTGGGGGAAAGCCAACCTTGAAGACCAGCTGTTTTCAGAAATGAGTCCCGTGATACCTTTTTTCTTCTTTCTCATTGTATTGTATTGCTTTGTTATTTCAGTTAGGCCATAGTATTTAAAATGAGTTATGTTCCTTATTTATTTAGTCAATGGGCTTTGATCAGCTTTTTAAAGCAACGTGATAATTTTTTTGACATGACACACTCCTGTAAAGCCCTTTTATGACTGTTACAGGGACTTTCTACTACCTCTACCAATCTACTGTTTCTTCTTCTTAACAGGTTTTTATGGTGTTGCAAGTCTAATGTAACTTAGACAATAAAGGGTTTGATTATCTACGCTGCAGATTTCCAGTGTATCTGCCATCTCTCTTTCTCTCTCTCTTTCTCTATTTCCGTTTTTGTCCTTTTTATTATAGCTAAAAAGCAGGTGAAAGAAGGACCTTCTTTGCCATGACAGTTTTTTCCTGAGTGCTCTGCACTGATCAAAAGTCAAACTTGGAGAAACTTCTTTCCATGGAGATAATCAGCTACCATATTGTCATAATTCTGTTTGCATTCTTGAAATTCTTTCTGTCAAATATGTTTTGAATAAACTGTTACATACTGCAAAATGGAAAGCAAATTAGAAAGCCAAAACAGTTTTTAGTTTTGTATTTGAAAACCACTTAAAGTGCTTAGTGAAAAGCCTTAGTGTAAATTGCCACCCCCAGCTTATGGTAGACACTGCTTACATGAAAACAGCTAGTTAAGGAAATTATCCTTTGGAAAATAGCATCTTATATTTTTGCAAAAAAAAAAAAGTGTTTTGCTATTAACTGACTGTCAGTTAAAAACTGTCACTTGAGTGATTTTCAGGCTTTGCTATCATGTGCATTTTCTGGCAATCTTTGTAAACTTGTTGCCTTCCTCTCATACTCTGTGTGTGTTTTGGAGGGCACACATAAATTCGTCATGCTCGATGCTTCAGAATATACTTGACATTTTGAGCCACTTTATGCAATCATGCCCTTCTACCGGGGAGTGCGTTCTCCTGTTTGCTCATTTTCACGCTTAAAGGGTTCACAAGCAGACCTGTGGATTTTTCTTTGTTTTGTTTTTTTTTTCCTTGCTCTGTTCCTGTGTTGAGCTACTTAAAATAAAGTATATCTTGGTGGCTGCAACACAGCTATTGGAGTTCATGGACACAATCAGGAATTTCTGCTGGGTGATTCCCTTGTAAAACCAGTCTGAAGTGAGAAGGCCTCAAACAAAGTCTGAAGCAAGAGATTGGTTCCTGCTATGTACAATGTGTTGGGTTAAAAGTAGGAAGTTGTCATTTTATATCACATCAAACCTGCTCCCCTAGAAGCCAGTGTTTCTTAAGCAAGCAGTTTTATGCAAAGCATTGAGCGTACAGAGTCCTCTTCCGCTCGTGCTTTCCGTTCTCTTTTGCTGTGTCTGACATCCCATATTTAAGTGCAGTCCGATATTCTGAGGCAAAACTTGCACTGAGAACTTGTAGGTAAGGAATACCTCTTTGGTCCCAAAATTTAGAGAGTAACTAAAATGAAACTGAGTATGTTAATATATAGATAAATACTTCCCCTTTAGTTTTTCAGTAATTATAAAATGATTGTGTCTGGAGCTGTAAGACGAAAGGGACAGCTGAAGAGCAATAGATGAAAAAGCATGGGTGTACTGCCTTATTACCTGCTTTAAGTGGGGCTAAATGTATGCAGGCATCCTCTAGAAGCAATATAACTGTGTTGACCTCCTTGGCTGTCTCAAGGTAGAATGTATCTTTTATTGTAATTTTCATTATACATTTATTTATTTCTTCAGCTTCACTACTGCTACTTTTGGAGATCTCACCCCCTCCCCCTCCCCAGCTCTTCTTTCCTTTGTGAGGCTGACGGACGAAGAAGCAAAGAGCAGATGGAAAAAGAATACGTGTGCTGTTAGAGTATTAGAAACAAGCATTATTTCCAAATTGATCTCCTGTTTGCTGCTGTTAATCAAAATGAGGGACATTTCTGCTATTGCGAATGATAGAAGAGGATGTTATGTAGGAAGCAACAGCAGGCAGAGACAGGGAGTGCTTTGGATGTAGCTTGAGGCAAGGGATCAAGACTGTTTATATGACCCCAGCTGTACAGAGTTTGAATAAGGAGGTGGATGATGCTGACAGGGCCATAGGAAAGAGATAGGGAGAAAGCATGTGAAAGGGTGGAATATGACCCTACCAAATTCACACAGATAGACAGAAAGCAGCGTGTGAGAATGGCCAAGATTAAGGACAAGGAGAAACCAGGAGTGGAGAGAGGTTTGTAGGTGAATCACCAGAAGTCCTCTGTGTGGAAAAGCTGCCAAGGAGGTCAGATCAAAAGGATGTGGAGATGGCATAGAAACTGAAACCTAACTAGAAGAGAGCTGTCTGTTGCAAAAGGGCTTCGGTTCTGATTAAAGGGAAGAGAGATCAAAAGGCAACTTTTGGGTAGATGGAAACTTCAGGAAATAAACAGTTTAAGC